AGATCTTAGGCTGCCTAGTAGAAGTACAAAATCCTAATAGTGGAAAACTTCAGTTTCCTCATCTGCAAAATTAGGGGCTGGATTGGATGACTTCCACGTCCCATACAGCTCTATTATTTTATGAACATATGACTGTAACTTTCAAGTTCTAACCTTGAGTTCCTGCATTTTCAGGAAATGGCCATAGACAAGATTTATAGGCTTGATGAAAATAGATAATCCATTTCTCTGGTTAACTTTATAGCTTGAATTATCTCCGGGGGTGGGGGGCGGGGGAGGGAGAAGAAATCTCTTTGTGTGAAGTGACCCACAAAGAACTCCCAAAATGAGTGTGGCAATGGAAGCAACTTGTGTACGTACGTTTCACGTCATGTCAAGCTTTACACAAAACTATTTTTCTTGAGGTGGCAAGCTCGAGCAACCAGTTTTTCCTGAAGTTTGCCTGATAAATCTGTTTATGATGAGCTGAACTGTCATTCTTCTATCTTGCCATAGCCTTGGAGGGCCCCTCCCAAGCCAACCAGCTGCCTGTTGACTTTGGTAATCAAGGATTTCAGAGGCAGAGATCAAGGTCAATATGGGGCAATGGCAGAAATGACTTCGCCCTAGCACACAGGGGCCGCTTCCGAGGCTCTGCGGTACGAGGGCTGAGGGAGGGCAGGGATCTGAGTTTTAGCCACAACATAATAGGTAGTCTGAGATGGTTTTGTGGGTAACCAGTGCACTCCCCCACTCCACCCCTGCTGCTATCATTCTCTTCAGAACCCCTAATCTGGCATTATCAGGCATTTCAAACATCTTTTGAGAAAAAGGCAACAGAGGAGACTCATCATGGGGAAAGCAAAGCTTTAATAAAAATAGAATTCCAAATATTTCAGCGGGGACCTCTTTGTCTAGCTAAAAGAGATTTAGAGAGTGGATTAGAAAGCTAGTATCTCCTTCTTGTTCTGCAATTAACCAGGTGTATGCCCTTGGGCAAGCCACTCCATAACCTTGGGCCCTGTTTCCTTACTTGTAAATGGGGAGGAACCCTGTGTAGCTACTTCCAAGAGTATATAGGTTTATGGATGACCCCTAAACTAGGACCAGGTTGTATCCTGCGCAGGAAAGGAATTGTGTGTAGGCTTGGAGGTGATGTCTGTGAAGCCAATTAAAAAGGACCTAGAACTTTAAAAGGAAGTGTCTGAAAAGCAACAAGCAAGAACTGAAATCACAGGACTCCCGGGTTCTTGTCTTACTTCACTCCCTCCCAGGTATTGGCTGAGTTGCTCTATGTCTCACTTTCTTAATTCTGTCAGGCTGAAGAGGTCACGGAGGGTGGGGCTATGGCCAATGGATCATGCTCTCCACGTTCTGGAAAAAGGACAGAGGTAGCAGAAAGGCCAGAAGAGGAGTTTCCACTGAAAACTGACCATAATTGACTCTCCCCTTCTCTTTCCAGATCGGAAGGGACATGAGAGCTGCATAGCTGTGACATTCCTGGTTTCAGTACCTTCATTCCCTCAGCAGCACAGCCACCAACTTGGGCAAGGAAATCAAGATCGTGGACAAAGAAGGGTAAGTCCAAGAGCTACTAAATTAAATGGGCTTTCGGAAATTGCGTGTGGTGGGGGGATCCATAGACGTTTATGTTTTCGGGAGAGACGCCTTCCTCTATTTTTATTGTGGTACAAGATATATAATCTAAATTTTACCATAGTGATCGGTTTTAAGCATCCGTTCCAGTGGAGAGGACTTTTTTGGGTGACTTTGGTTCTCTCCCTATACTGATGTCGATTGTATATTCCCTGTTGCAAAGTTCCTGACTATTCTGCTGGGTCGGATTGCAAGCACCCCTCGGTTAGGCTGGGTTGGCTCCTGCAATAGGGAAACACTCCCAAATAGCAGCAACAGGACAGGAAATTATTCAGCAGTCATTTCTCCTTGATAGGAGTGAGATCTCATTTGTTGCTGTGTCCCTTTAATTCTTTTATCTCTCTGCCTTGGCCCTAACAACTTGTCCAGACCTGTGGCTTGCTTGCCCTTGGGCCTACTTTCTTTTGTTATGCTGCATTTTTGTTCTCTGCCAACTCCTGGACTCCTGGCTTATTCTGACTATGAAAATCCTATTTTCCTTGCAATCTGACTTGTCTGCCCTTTCAGCGGCCCTGCATAGCTTATTTGTCAGATGTGATTGACAGCTTTGGCTCTCTACCTGAGCTCCAGTCCCACCTCTCTGACTGTCTACTGGTCATTTTCTGCGGAATGTGCCAGTCATTTGTTCTGCGGAGCAGATTGCAACATGTTCAAAATCAACCTTCATTTTTTGCCACAAACCAGCTGCTTTTATAACCTCTGGTTCCATGTCAAGAGTCCAGTGAGTCATTGAGACCAGAAGCAAAGTCCTCTTTGACTTAATCTCCTTTCATTGGCCCTCAGCCATTCATTGCCTAAGAACCATCAGATTTTCCTTCAAATATTGGTCATTGTTTCTGTCCTTCTCCCCCTCTCCCCTACGCCCATTTTTAGGTCCTTACCACCTCTACTATCATCCAGTGCTCAAATCCACTCTTTCCCCAATTCAGTTTCCTGTGCCAGGCCTACACCTATCTTTATTCAACAAGTCTTGTCTGTTTAAAACCCTGAAGTTCTTGGAGCCCCTGGGTGGCTCAGTCGTTGAGCGTCTGCCTTTGGCTCAGGTCATGATCCCAGGATCCTGGGATCAAGCCCCCAGTCGGGCTCTCCGCTCTATGGGAAGCCTGCTTCTCCCTTTCCCACTCCCCCTGCTTATGTTCCCTCTCTTGCTCTCTCTGTGTCAAATGAATAAATAAAATCTTTTAAAAAAAACAAAAACAAAAAACCCTGAAGTTCTTAACTTGTCCCATCATAGAGGCTTCTTGCCCTTTTTGGCTATTAGAGTTTCCCCTAATTTGATCCCATTCTAGACAAACTTTCTGCCAGGCAGCTATGTTGTAATGGAAAGTTTAAAGGACTTGGAATTAGTGGGCCTGCTTTCAAATGCCACCTCTGTACTCAGCAGAACCACCTTGGGCAATAATTCACTGACTCTTGGAGCCTTGGATCCCCATTTGTAAAATGGGGATAATGCTTATGTCGTAGGGAACTTTATGGGGATTTAATGAGATAATATGTGTGGAAGCGAGTTAGTATTGTGCTTAGAACCCACATTTGAGCTGACTCCCTTGGTTTGAATCCAGGCCTTTTCACTCAAGGACCATATGGCCTGGAGCAAGTTCCTTAACCTCTCAGGGCTTCATCTTCTTTGTTTGTAAAATGGAGATATTAGCAGTGTGTATGTCATAGGTCTGTAGTGATGGTTAAGTTGAATAATATATGTAAAGTGCTTAACATAGTGCCTGGTACCCTATAAACTCTAGTAGGTGTAAGCTATTATTATTATGTGCAAGAGATCTAGTACAGTCCTGGACACCTAATCAGCACTTAACAAATGTTTGCTAACTCTGTTGATGAGTTCATCATATCCATCTGATCTCATTTCCCACGAATTCCTGCTATGCATAGTCTTGCCACCCTTCCTCTGCACAGAGTGACCACCTTGGCTTTCCATGAAGACATCTTCCACTTCTCTTGCCACTTCTCTTGCCTTTGGTTAGAGTACTTTTCTTTTCTAGAATGTCATAATTTATCTTCCCTGACTATCCAAATTCTTCCCATTATTTAAGGTCAGTCCTAAACCCTGCCTCTATATATCTTTCTCTTATTACTTCTGTATTCATTAATTCCTCTCATTTCTGAAACAGTTACCCTTGATTTAGCATATGGTATGCTTAGATACTATTTCCTGTATATTCGTTTTGTGTCTTCAGCTAGTTTGGAAAATATCCCTCAGTCTAGCATTGTTTTGGAATACACAATAAATATGGTGAATATTTAATCTACTGGACTACTGTATCAACTCAGACCATCTCTTGGGATCACAGTCCCTGATTATATTTAGGGTAGAATTTGGAGAAAGGGACACACACTTAGTTGTCCGAGGGTGAGGACGGATCCAGAATTTTGAACCAATTTTTCAGACCTAGAGTCTCTTATCAGTAGAGTGCACATGAGAGTGGGCAGATTGGGGGTGGTTGTTATAGAGATAAGAGGTTCCTACCAAATGGGACAAAGTCCTATGACCTCTGGGCCAAAGTGTTGAAGAAATGTTTAAGCATGGGGTCTCCACAGGTAAGGGGCCAGAGGCAGACTAAGAGGTGACTAAGACAGGCAAGTGTCCCCATTCAAATCTGGTTCTTGCTGTGACAGGCTTTGCCTTTAACTGGTTTCTCAAGCTTCTTACACCTTACACAACATTTGCCCTATTGAGAAACTGGTTTTGCATGAAACTTCCCATGGCTTGAAGCAAGTATCCATGACGGTGTTTGCATACCTTTGGGGTTTTACCCCCCCAAATGTGCCAATAAAGATGAAGTGACATTCAGATGACATGGTATGAAGGACATCACTGTAGCCTCCAAAACTGAGAATGTTTGAACTATGCAAAAGGTTTATACCAGGATTTCACAATTACAGAGAAGGCCAAGGAAGACTAGTGCAGAATGCAAGGTAAAGAACATTGTCTTTGCCGCAGTTCTCATGGAGCCTTCTCTGAGGACTGCAGCCTGTGTTGATCTCCTGGTTTCCAGACTTCTATAGTACATACTGTCTTGACCACACAGTTCAGTCCTGTATTATACATTGTCGTCTGAAAATCGCTTTATGAGTTGTGTCCCCCCCAGCTAGTTGTTTCTTTCTTTTTTAGTTGTAAGTTTCTTGAGAATACAGACTACCTCTACACGTCCTTGCTGTCCCCTATGGAGCCTCTCCATACAGTTTAACTCAGTGTTGGGCACAGTAAGATTCTCAACAATAAGTGTTGATGGATTTGCTTTTGAAAATGTAAATTCATAAAAAGCAGCTCCACTAAGGAGAGCTTATTTCTTTTTTTAAGTGGTGGGCATTGGGAGTCCCCTCATCATTTGTAGTGTGGTCCTCAGTGACAGCCTCCTTTCAGAAGTCAGGGAATCAAGATGTACAGGAGGACAGAGTCCCAGTACTTTCCCACATAAGAGAGAAAGACATTCGGCCTGGTGCCGGAGCCCCCTTCCCAATTCCTTGTTCCCCTCCCAAGCACCGAGGCCCTGCGGTAAGAGTGTGAGGGACCTTGGGAGATTATCTGACTCAACTCTCTCATTTTGTAGATGAGGAAACTGGGACTCAGGGAAGCGGAGTTGAGGGCCGTGGGAAGAGGATGAATGGGTGTTGACTCATGTAGAATTGGACAGTAATCCCAGTTCTGCCACTTTCTAGCCGTGTGATTGTGGAAGAGTCTCTTCACATCTTGAAGCCTCAATTCCTTTATCTTTGAAGTGGGGATAACAATGCCTACCTACTGGAGTTGTGAGAATTAATTGAGACAATACATGTAAATGCAGTGTTTGGCAATAAGAGGTGTTTAATACTTGTTGGCTCTCTCTCCTTGCTTTCTCTTGAGTCCTGCCCAAAGCTAAAGTGCTAGCATGTCCCATTTTTCAAGTTAAGTATTTTGCCAATCCCATACTAAGGCTAGCCTCCTATCTGCTGGAAAATTAGGATCAATGATGAAAAAATTTTTAAAATTATCTTCACTGAGCATTTGGACGATTAATTTTGAGCACATTTATATGTGTTGGAGGTGAAAGAGTTTAAAAGACAGGAATACTGAATTTCAGAGGGAAACTCAAAGGTATTGAGGTTTTACCCATTTTTCAGCTACAAGTGTTTGAGCTCCTGGTACTCTTAAAATAGTACTGATGGCCTTTTACTCCTTAAAAAAAATTCCATTCTCAGATATATTTACATGCTTTGCCTTGCAACCTGATATTTTTCACCTGTCTTTCTTAAGACATACTCTGCTGTCCATTAATCATCAATTGGAGCTAAAATGAAAACACGGCTGTTGAGGTTCTGGTAAAGAAATAAATGTAGGGGGCGCCTGGGTGGCTCAGTCAGTTGAGCACCCAACTCTGTGGTTTTTAGCTACTAAGGCATGTGGTAATTTCTTTAGAGCAGCAATAGAAAACTAATACAGTGGGTTTCTCCCAAGGTGGACAGACTATCTTGCCCCAGAGATGCTGCTTGACATTCAAGGCCTTCACACAATCAAAGGTAACAAAGTTCCCAAAGGGACTAAGACACAGGGAGAGGCAGAAGACCACTGTTAAGGGGGCAAAGTGATCAGCAGTTAGAAGAGAGTGCTTCTTGTGTTTGGCACCATAATGGATGGATAAGAAATATAAATATAACTCATAACCTCTAGGAGAGACAGGATTAATAGCCATCCTTGGCATTTATATCACATCTTATAAACCTTTTATAAAGGGCTACACTTAAAGAGTCTCATGTAATCCTCTCATCAAGCCAATGAGATGGAAATTTGTATTATTCCGTTTTGTAAATAAGAGAACAGAAGTTTAGTGTGCTAGTTTTCTTGAAATCAGATAGTAGTAAGTGGCAGAGGTGGGAAGCAAACAGATCTGGCCCCAGAGCCTCCGCACTTCACTACTTTCATATCTGTCCTGCCTGGAGAGCTGCTCAGCCGGGAAGTCAACCCATTTAGGGGCTGTGCATTGCTAGGGTAATTTCTACTAATAAATAGAGGTTGTGGGGAGAGGTGCGGGTAATACTTCGTGGTGGGCATCCATCCTCCAGATGTCTGCTTTTCACAGATCTTCCTAGAATGTGCCTCTTGTCGAAAATATCACTGGCCAGCAGTCGTTTCTTGTGAATATTTTCAATTCACTGTCCATCATAAACCTAAATATGACATGTCTAAAATGTAGCTCAATCCACCTCCCCCACCCCAATCAGACCTCCAACTTTGACTTTGCTATTTCTTTTAAGAATGTCACTATTAGGGAGCCTGGGTGGTTCAGTCGGTTAAGCATCAAACTCTTGATTTCAGCTCAGGTCTTGAGCTCAGGGTCATGAGTTCAAGCCCCACGTTGGGTTCCATGCTGGGTGTGGAGCCTATTTAAAAAAAAAAAAAGTCATCATTAACCCAGTCATCTATACTCAACAGCTATATAAACATTAATAGCTAACACTTCCTGAGAACACATTCCAGTTATTGTGCTAAGCATCTTAGACGTCATCCATTTGATCCTCTCAACAACCCTATGAGGAAGGCACACTTATTAACCCCATTTTATAGATGTGGAAATGAAATCTTATGTAAATTGCCAAAGGTGACACCTCAGCATCATCTTTCATTACTCATCTCCACCCTCCATAGCTCATGAATCACCAAGTCCTCTCAATTCTCTCTCTGTACTATTTCTTGTATTTGTTGCTTTCGTTCTGTGTCTGTTGCCACCGCACCAGTCTTAGCCCTTTTTGACGTATGTCTCACCTATAGCCAGTGCCCAACATAGTCTCTCTTGTTCCATGATTCCCTTCCTTAGATCTTTCTGATATGCTTTGGTCGGACTAAGCCACCTAAAAGCCCACTCTTATCCCACCCATTTCCAAGCTCAAATCTTTAAACTGGAGGAGAGATATCCAAATACCCCCGGAGGCGATCCTTAGTATGATGGTAGCAATCATTTTTTGAAAAATTAAATAACTTCATTAGATTATAATTAAAAGGAAAAAATGTTACAGCCTTAGGTTGAAATTATAGGACAAGACACATCATAAAGATAAGCAAACACTGTACCCAATAAATGTGTCACTGAAACTTCATTTTTTCCAGCATTAGGGAGCTCATACTGGTCATCTGACCATCCTAAATATGCAGTTACGTTTTTTAGAGGCAAGCCTTTGCCTAAAAAAAGGAGTTTTGTAAACGTGCTTAGTGTTTTCCAATACGTGCCTGCATATTTATAAACGTCATTATTAGTATTAAAATAACAAATGTACACAGTAAAAGAAAAACTGAATCAAAATACCACCAAAGGATATAATAATAGAATAACAATAGAGGGTGCCTGGGTGGCTCAGTTGGTTGGGCGACTGCCTTCGGCTCAGGTCATGATCCTGGAGTCCCTGCTTCTCCCTCTGACCCTCCTCCCTCTCATGCTCTCTGTCTCTCATTCTCTCTCTCGCAAATAAATAAAAAAAAATTAAAAAAAAAAAAAGAATAACAATAGAAAAATTTCTCTCTCCCAAGATTGAATAAGGTGATTTGTACTTTCTTCGTTACACATTTCTGTAGTTTACAGACTTTTAGTAATGCATAGGTATTGCTTTAGAATAGAAAATAAAGCTAATAAAGCATAATTTTAAAAAGGAACCACATTTTCCATCATTCCCTGCTACTTATAATATAAAAGCTAAATTCTTTGGCTGAGGCCCTATGTAATCTGGCCGCAAACTGCTTTCCAGGCTTATTATATACTATTCAATACAAATGTTCTGCTTCAGTTAAACTATTTTAAACACATTTTCCCTGCTGTGTCTCCTACTGTGGTGTTTTCTCTTCCTGGAATGAGCTTCCCCATTCTCTTTTAATATCCCAATTCAATCTATTGTTCAAGATCTAAGTGAGTTCTACATACAGCTTTTCCTAAAGAGGAAGGAATCAGTGTGTAGTCAGTATTCACCATGTGGGCTACGCACTATATTTGGTGCTTTACATGGTATTCATTTGAGCTTCACAACAGCTCTTGATGGTTGGCATTAATTACCCTCTTTTTATAGATGAGGAAACTAAGTTTCCTTCAAGTCACATAGCCAGTGTGTGGCAGAGCTGAAATTTGCCGCTGGCTGGCTGTTCCCCAGGTCAGAGAGCTCTCATTTGTTCCAACCTTTGAAGCACGTATCTGTGTAAGTTTGACCAATAATCACAGAAGAGCATTCTAAGATAGTGGCATTGCTTATACCATTATTTTGAAGTACTTATATTTTGCATTTTTATCTTCTCAACGAAACTTCCTGTGAGAAAACTTGGGTGTGTGTTCTCACTTGCCATTTCCTAGTTATGTATCTTTGAGTCAACTCCTTAACCTTTCTCAGTCTCAAGTCAGGTAATAATAATACCTAACTCTTAGGGTTGTCATGAGAATTAAAATCCCAACATATATCTTGTACAAAAGAGTTGATTGTTGTGCATTTGACTTAACACAGTGATATTAATTAATTTTCAAATTCCATTTAATTTCTAGTTTCTTTATAGTAGTGGTTTGAGATATTCCTAAGATGTGGTGTCCTAAAGAGGACTAGAACTTTTTCTTCAATACAAAGACTGGCTTTACATAAATAAATAAATAAACTTATTTATTTGTTTGTTTGTTTATGTATGAATGTGTGTATTTGAGCAGGGGTGCACATGGGTGTGTGGGGAGAGGGAGAGAGAACCTCAAGGAGGCTCCATACCTAGTGCCGCGGGAGCCTGGGTGTGAGGCTTGATCTCACGACCCTGAGATCATGACATGAGCCGCAGTCAAGAATCGGGCGCTTAACATACTGAGCCACCCAGGTGCCCCTGCACAAATTAAAAAGCATTTTTCAGTTAAAATAGCATTTTGCTATTTGGTCAATATATCCTATCTTGCTGTTTAGCTTAGCTAACATTGAACAAGAGGTTCAGTTACTGGTTAAAGATTGTTCCTAAAGGTAAATGTTTACATTTATAAACATGACTGTTATTATTATTGAATGTTGTCATTTTTAGTCCAGAAAGCCACTGTGAATTTTATTTTATTTTATTTTTTAAAGATTTTATTTATTTATTTGAGAGAGAGAGAGAGAGAATAAGAGAGAGAACATAAGACGGGGGAGGGTCAGAGGGAGAAGCAGACTCCCCGCTGAGCAGGGAGCCTGATGTGGGGCTCGATCCTGGGACTCCAGGATCATGACCTGAGCCGAAGGCAGTCACCTAACCAACTGAGCCACCCAGGCGCCCCCACTGTGAATTTTAAAACGGAGCACATTGAGTCCTGTATTTACTCATAAAATGGGAAAGCCATTTAAAGATTGCTGGCCTTCAAAAACAAACATCATTTTTTAAATTATTCTTTATATCAGAGAAAAAGGACATCACTGTATTTATTCCAATTATTTTTCTTTAGGACCAGATGAAAAGAAGCAGAATTCACAAATTCCTTTATTCTTAAAATTGCATTTCACAGTTATTAAAAGACTTGTCAAACAGCCCTGACAAAACCCCCAAATGTGTGCTCTATATAAATTGAAAATAAAGTTTGGGCTGTAAATAGCAAAAGTCCACCTGCAACTTCCCCAAGCTTGCAACAGAGAAATTCTTATTTCTCAGGGCACTCCTCTAATACCTGCTTGTTATGAACTGTTTGATTAAACAAAACAGTCTGGTTATGAAATCATTAGGATCTTTTAGGTTTTAAGTGTCTTACGTCTGTCTGTAGCGAGGTATGATCCTTTTTTCCTTAACAGTCAAGCTTCTTGGGGTGACTGGGTGTCTGATTAGGTTAAGCATCAGCCTTCAGCTCAGATCATGATCCCAGAGTCCTGGGATCAAATCCCGCATCAGGGTCCCTGCTGAATGGGGAGCCTGCTTCTCCCTCTTCTCTGCTTGCGTTCTCTCTCTCCTCTAATGAATAAATCTTAAAAAACAAAACAAAGCAAAACAAAAAACAGTCAAGCTTCTTGAAAGAGTAGTTTCTGTTCCACTGTTTCTATTTTCTTCCTTCTCATTCCCTTTTCAACTCACTGTAGTCTTGCCTTTGCAAGACTGTCATCAGTGAAACGATCCCATCCACGGTCACTTTATTGCTAAGTCAAAGAAAGACTTTTTAGACCTTACCATCGGGGCTTCTCTGAGCATGAACTCAGTGGAGTTCTTTCTGTGCTTTTTTTTTCTTGACTTTTGGTAACAGCTATGTCCACTGCTTTTCTTGCTGCTTTTCTAGTTTCTCCTTCTCAGCCTCCCTAGAGCTTCTTTTGGACTGTCTCTTCCTAAAACATCAGTAATTCCCTTGATTCCCAACATCTTTTTTCTCTCACTCTCCCTGCATGACCTCATCCATTGGCCATGACTAAACTAAATATGGCTAATGAATCCCAAATCTTTCTCTCCTGCCCAGACGTGGCCTCTGAGCTTCAGACTCATGAATGTAACAGTCTATTCCTCTCGAGGTTCCATAGGCACCTGGAACTCAACATGCTTAAAATTCAACTTATCTTTCCCCTGGTGATGTAAATAAGTAGCATTATCATCACCCATTTGCTAGAGTCAGAAACTTAAGAGTTATCCTTTTTTTTTTTTTTAAGATTTTATTTATTTGTTTGACAGAGAGAGAGAGAGCACAAGCAGGGGGAGAAGCAGGCAGAGGAGAGGGAGGGGCAGGCTCCACGTTGAACAAGGAGCCTGATGCGGGGCCCGACCTGAGCTGAAGGCAGACGCTTAACCAACTGAGCCACCCAGGCGTCCCAAGAGTCATCCTTGATCCTGCCTTCCCCCTTAACAGTTCAGATCTAACTGGTGACTGGTTCTTTTAATTCTAGTTTTGTAACATCTTTTGGATATATCTTCTCTCCATTTATATTTAGTTCTCTAGCATGTACAAGCACCTCTCATCTTGCTTTAGGTCTTCCTTCCCCAACCATTGTTTACATAGCAAAATGCACACCTGATCTTGTCATTTCTCCTGCTTAAAATCTTCCAGCAGCTTCCTAACCGCTTGCCTTAAACAAAGTCCAAGCCCTTTGGCATAGCTTATACGGCCTCTATGATCTTATTTCTGCTTAGATGTGTAGGACATGTTATTCAGATTGCAGTTCTTCCACTTGCTGTGTGATTGAACAAGTTCACTGTAAAATGGAGGTAATAGTAATTGTGAGGATTAAATGAGATCATTTGCAAGAAGTGTTAGCTATTTAAAATTACAATTAACATCCTTATTTGTAAGTTTTCGGAGAATAGTACTCTCATTTCCTTAAGACAAATTCTTAAAGGAGGATTGCTAGGTATGCATTTTTAGACTTTGGAAAGCATATTGCCAAATTGCTCTGTAGAATAGTTACACCAATTTATACTCTCACCAGCAGCATTGAGGAGGCCTATTTTACAACACTCTTGACCTAATCCTGGGATTACCCATTTAAAAAACCTTTGTTGAATTGATAAGTGAAAAGTCATCCAGTTCTTATAACTTATTATGTCTATTTACATTTTTCTTACAGAAAGATCAGCTATACACTGATAACAGTGTAATTGCTATTTACTCTTTCTTGGTTGTACGTCTTAATTTGACATTGAGGGTTTTTTTTCTATCACTTTCAGAGCTGGGATTTTATGTTTTTGAACTCCTTTCCTTCCTTCTTTCCTTCCATTTCCTTAGTAATGAGCATGTGTTTGCTTAATTTAATTGAATAAAATTGAACACTTAATTCCTATTAAGACTTTTATGTATACTATTTTTTTTTTTTTTTTTTTAAGATTTCATTTATTTTTGACAGAGAGAGAGACAGCGAGAGAGGGAACACAAGCAGGGTGAGTGGGAGAGGGAGAAACAGGCTTCCCGCTGAGCAGGGAGCCGGTCGTGGGGCTCGATCCTGGGACCCTGGGATCATGACCTGAGCCGAAGGCAGATGCTTAACGACTGAGCCACCCAGGCGCCCCTGTATACTATATTTGGTCAGGTGTTTTTGTTTTTTAAAATGAGGAGCTCAGAGTTCTGTCCTGAGAGTTGGAAGACCTGTTTCTAATCCCAGTTTAGTCCCTGACTAGCTGTGCATCCTTGGGCAAGTCACTTCACCTCTCTGGACCTTTGCTTTCTTATATGTAACATGAGCGGATGGTACTATCTCAGGTATCTTCTAGTTTTCACATCACACAGGTAAGATTTTTCTTTCATGAGGTTTCTTTGGAGGCAAACTTTTGGAATGTTCCCTTCTCCTCTACCACAAATAGTGTTCTCCTCCAATATGGTGTCATCTCTTGGAGGCAAAACTTGCTGCTTTACAGAACTGTGATTCATTTGTATAGTGCCATGAGCCCTAGGACAATAGCAGCCACCACCATCCAAAAGTCACAGCCAAGACTTAAATATAAAATAGGTCTTATTTGGTGTGTGTGTGTGTGTGTGTGTGAGAGAGAGAGAGAGAGAGAGAGAGACAGTCCTTTGAAAATCTGTTGAAAGCTAGGGACACAGAAAAACCCACATAAGGATACATGCACAAAATTTTAGGGGCCTCCTAGACCCTCGGAAGCCCATCCATATACTCCCTAGGAATACATGAATCCTAGGACAAGAACATTTGATTTGGGGATACTAAAGGGATCCCTGGAGATGAACTAAATGATCAAAAATGCTTCCTATTGGAAAAGGGAGCTGCCAGATTAAATAAATATTTATAGAATATTATTCAAACTCTTTTCTTTTTTTTTTTTTAAGGATTTTATTTATTTATTTGAAAGAGAGAGAATGAGAGAGAGCACATGAGAGGGGGGAGGGTCAGAGGGAGAAGCAGACTCCCTGCGGAGCAGGGAGCCCGATGCGGGACTCGATCCAGGGACTCGATCCAGGGACTCGATCCAGGGACTCCAGGACCATGACCTGAGCCGAAGGCAGTCGCTCAACCAACTGAGCCACCCAGGCGCCCTCAAACTCTCTTTTCAAAACTAAACTCATGATTACTTACAAATACCCTCTTCATAAATCAGATCATGTACTAACTGGCTTAAATCTTTTAGGATAGAATGCGAACTGCTTACCATGCATTACAAGGTCCTACACAGTCTGGCTCTTCCCCGACCTCGTTTTACACTTTTGAGCCCCACAGGCCTTTCTTCTGCTCTGGAAACACACCAACTCCCTCCAAGTCACTCTGCTGCTTTTTTTTTTTTTTTTTTTTTAGATTTTATTTATTTGACAGAGAGAGACATAGCGAGAGAGGGAACACAAGCAGGGGGAGTGGGAGAGGGAGAAGCAGGCTTCCCATCGAGCAGGGAGCCCGATGCGGGGCTCGATCCCAGGACCCTGAGATCATGACCTGAGCCGAAGGCAGACGCTTAACGACTGAGCCACCCAGGCGCCCCCAAGTCACTCTGCTTCTACTGAAGTTTCAGAATGATCTCTTTCCTCTGCTGAGACCATTTCTCTGTTTGCCATCCTTAAGGATGGGTTCAAATGTCCCCTCCTCATGAATGCCTTCCTCAGCCACCTTGGCCCTTACCCTCGATCATTTGCTCTCACATCATCCAGCTTTCTCTCCACATAGTCAGTCCTCTCACAGTCCTGGATGTTGTTTTTGTTTGCTTATTGTCTTCTCTCCCCACTAGAATGTTAGTTCCACGAGGGAAGGGGCCTTGCTTCTCTTATTCATAACCGAACTCCCAGAGCCAGGCACAGTGCCTGGCACATGCTGGTTGGTAGGCACTCAATAACCAATAGCTGAATGAATGATTAAGCTTCAGCCAGGGGTGGATTAAAAACTTAACAGGGTCTAAGCACTAAAGATAATGGTGCTCCTCCCCCATATTTAACTCTGACTGAAAACAAGACTGAACCGCACACTTACATGTACTGAAATGAAAATAGCTTCCTTCTAGATTGTCTAATTGTAAGCCATGGAGCCCTTGCTTTGCTGGTGTCCTAAGTTTATGAGCTCTTTATCTGCCTTTGAGGAATCTAGCACTCATTCATCCCTTTAAACGTGCCAGAAGCAATTTTAGGTTCAGCTTGTCTGTGCCTGTAAAAAACCATGCTAGGATTTTGATAGGTACTGTGTTAAAACTATAGATCAATAGGGGAAGGGAGGAGAAAAACAGAATGGGAAGAAATCAGAGAGGGAGACAAACCATGAGACTCTTAACTATGGGAAAGAAATTGAGGGTTGCTGTAGGGGAGGTGGGTGGGGGGATGTGGTAACTGGGTGATGGGCATTAAGGAGGGCACGTGATGTGACGAGCACTGGGTGTTATATGAATCTGATGAATTACTGAACTCTACATCTGAAACTAATGATGTTCTATATAGTGGCTAGTTGAATTTAAATAAAAAAAATCAAGGGGCACCTGGGTGGCTCAGTTGGTTGGGCGTCTGCCTTTGGCTCAGGCCGTGATCCCAGGGTCCAGGGATCAAGTCCCTCATCGGGCTCCCTGCTCAGCGGGGAGTCTGCTTCTCCCTCTCCCTCTGCTTGATGCTCTGCCTGCTTGTGTGTTCTCTCTCCCTGTCAAATAAATAAATACAATCTTTAAAAAAAATCTATAGATCAATTTGGGAAGAAATGACAATATTTATTATACTGGTTCTTCCAATCCATGAATGTAGTGGGTTGCTCCAATTAATTAGGCCTTCTTTAATTTCACCAGCATTTTATATTTTTCAGCATACAGATCCCATACATGGTTTGTTAGATTTATACCTAAAGATTTCATATTCTTTGGAGCAATTATAAGTGGCATTTAGTTTTTAATTTGTTTCCACAAGTTTGTTGTTAGCATATATAGAAGCTCTTTTAGTAGAACAAAGAGAAATGTGCTCTTTAATGAAGTAAACTTGTTCAGCATCAACCTGTTGGACTAATAACAAGCTATTTATCCTAATATTCAAGTACCTCATAATGTGCCTCTAAATTTCTTAATATTAGCCCAGTTCTTAATTGCTACACACCAATCTCTACTGCTATTAAAGGGTCTTCTTGTCCCTCACCTGAATACACCTTATTCATTCTCCCTCCATGTCTTTGTTCATACCATTTCCCCTCAGGAATAGTCCTCCCACTGAGCCCTTTTAACCCAAACTAAATCTTAATTCTCCTTCAAGGATGAGGTCAAAGCTCTTCGGAAAATGCCTTCCTTGACAGCCCCAGCCTACATTGCTCCTTTTTTCTGCTGGACTCTTTTAACCAATATTGTGTGCCCCTCAATCACTAATTTAGTTTTTAATTAGTTTTAATCTACGTCTTGTTTCCCTTATTGGATGCTATATACTGGGGAGGCTCCCATAATAGCTATCATGGTACCACCTGCCTGGAAGGCACATAAAGGAGAGAGAAGTTTCAAGATGTGCAGTAAGTAAAGGGTATTCCATACATTCTTGCTGAATCTTTCATCTAGGCAAGATCTGTGCTCTTCACCTGTAGGACAAGGATTCTCTCTTTTCCAACTAAGCAGACTTGAGATGCAGATCATTTTAAACTACCGCTTCCAAAATGTTCTAAAAACAGCAGGTCTATAATCAGTAGATTTTTGGAGATTTACTTGAACAGCACAGGTAGTCCCATGAAAGCTGCAGTAACATCTCCTGGCCACCAGAGGACGGGGAACAGGGGGAGAGATTGCTTCCTCCCAGCCCAAGTCTCAGAGGTCAAAGGCAGAGGCAGAACGTGGACTCTGCATCTGTGGCCTTCAGGCTTAATTTACTGCCCCAAGTGCTCAGCAGTCTCTCATCTCCAGATGAGCTCCTTTTCCTCCTCTGAAAGATGAGCTGGAGGTTCCCAGAGGCTTACCCCAATACTAACCTTAAGTGATTATCAGTAGGAACCAGTGCACTTTAGTTGCAGGATTTAAAGGCAGAAAAGGAGTACAGAGATGTTTTATCTTTCTAACCCACCGCAAACCTCTCAGTTCTTTGGCCAGTTAAAAAAAAAAAAAAAAGTCCCCCAGGCAGTGTCCAAATGGACATTCCACAACAAAGATGCCTTTAGGGACCAATGTCCCAAATCCAGGGCATTGCAAAAGGAGTATTTTAGGAGCCAGATTATTCCTACACATAAATTCTGGCTCATGGAGCAGTCCACTCGCAGTAGGCTTTTCCGTCGTTAATCACATCTTTGTTATGTGATATCCACGTGAGTACTTCTCAGTAGAAGCAGCTTCATGCTCAAATGCTCAAAGAACACTAGAATAAAGCTCCGATTGTCCTATTCACTGATTCCAAGTCCTGGTTTGTCGCCACCTCAGGTCTCTAGTTTTCCAAAGAGTGTAATGCAATCTCAAAACAGAGCTATTTTGATTAATGCACATAGAAAATGCACGAAATGTGTAAAGTTAAAGCAACAGGGACTTGCACCTCTCAAGAGGCAGTGAACCTCTGGTCTGATTTAAAAATGATTCTGTACTGCCCGTTGTAGAAATCATTTTAGAAGAGAATTTCATGCTGCTCGTACTCATTAAATTTGTGAACGTAAATAAGTAAACATAAACAAAGTCAAATAATGAAAGGGACATTCATGTGGGGTCTCTCAACGACAAACACGTGTAGATCGCTGAATGCCTGACAGCACTACGGTGATTTTTCTCGAAGTACCTGTAACGTCCCTTTCACAAGGATGGCAGTGCCCTGCATTAGGGATTCATCAGACTTTTGAAGGAGTGATTGCAATTCTCTCAAATCATTGTTTGCGTTTCTTCACGCTGGTGAGGCAGCTGGAAACAGCGCAACCAGGAGGAAAGAGCTCCGCGTCTAGGTCGGGGCGGGGGGTGTGCGGGGGGGGGCGGGGGGACACCCTTAAATACCTGTTGGGGCGCAGCCCCGGGCCCGGGGTCGCGGCCGGCGGGCGCGCGGGCGCGGAAGGAGGAGGCCGCGGGGCCGCCTCCTCGGGCAGCCCCGGCTCCTCCCAGCGGCGCCTGCGGAACCTGCCTGCGAGTCGCCGAACTCCGGAACGGAACGTGACCCGACCCCTCCCCGAGCGGCCGCAGCGAGGCGCGGAGCGGCGCGGCGGACCCGGGCGGCCGCGGGATGGGCGGGCGAGCGCGCGGCCCCGCCCGGCGCCCACCGCCCTGCCCTCGCCTGTCTCCTCCTTTCCCCGGGGCTCCGCTGAGTTCATTCACTGGGATTGGTTTCAAGTGACGCCATCTCTTTATTTTTAAACCAATGACCTCATCCGCGCTTGAAGTTTCCTGACCAGCGACTCTTTCTCTTTCCCCCCAACCCCCCACCCCACCCCCCCGCCTTTCCCCCTCTGTCTGTGTATCACTGTTTGGGGGGCTTTAACCAGTTTTTAAACGATTATTAGCACTTCTCCCTCCCCCCCTCCGCTTTCCCCACGCGGCCCCCCACCTTCACCTCCCCAAGTTCTTCACCCCTTTCAACATTGTTTTTTCAAGGCTGACTGGGGGGGGGGTGGAAGAGAAAGAGTGAAGAAAAGTTGTAAACGTCTCCTCTCTTTCTAAGCTTCCCGCCCCCACCCACCCCTCAGAGAAGGAGAAGATAATATAGTGAAAAGAAGAGGAGGAGGAGAGCGCGACGGGACGGACGCGAGCTGGAGCGCAGCCGCCCTCCCGGCTCCGCGGCGGCGCCTCTCAAGCCGGGCAGGCGAGGGGGGCCCGAGGGGAGACGCCGTGACAACTTTCATTTCCCCCGGAGGGAGTCGGGAGGTCGGCGGCCCCAAAAGTAAGTGGCCTCCGGCCGGCCGCGCGCACCGTGCGGGCGGGAGGGTGCGGGGCTCGGGGCGCCCGCCCGCGCCGGCAGCATGGACGCTCCGCGGCGCGCCTGGACTCCGGGTGCCGGGCGCCGCGCTCTCGCCCCGCCGGCTCTGCCTTCCCGGGCGTCCGGGCCACCTTTCCGGGAGGCGGGGTGGGGGTGACCGCGGCGCGGAGCCGCACGAGCGTTGGGGGGGGGGAGGTATAGGCCTTGCTGGGGGCCGGGCCGAGCGGGAAGGGGGCGGGCGGCCGGGCGCGGGGTCTCGGTCGGTGCGCCCCCCGGCCGCGCCGCGGCAAGCGGGCCCGGCCGGCGGATCCCGCCGCAAGGAGCCACCGCCGCGGGACGCGGTACCTTCGCGGGCGAAGCTGCTCACTTGCAGGCGCGACTGTTACACAACACGCCTGCCAAGAGGGGCCCCGGCCTGACTGTTCCCATTATCCCAAATTCGCCTTTGGTGTAAGCAGCGAGGCCACCTGGGTGGTGACGGTGCTGCGTTCTTAGACCCAACCGACCAACCAAAAACTCCCGTTTTCATGCTGGGGCCCGAGTCGCGGTGTTGGGGGGCCCAGCGCGTCCGTGACTTCTTTATTTACGCTGGCCGTAAAACCTGAGAAATAAAGAAGCCCAAGGGGACAGCCGAGAATCTGTTTATCATGTGTGGTATCGTGTAATAAAACACCAGGGAGGAGAATATTTATGCAGAATTGAAGCTTTCAGGTAATGGGTTAATTTCCTAAAACAAACAAAACCCCGGTGACTAACTTGAGAAAATATGAGTAGAACTGAAAATGAATGAATACTGCAAAATCCTAAAGGAGTTTATGAAACGCCAGCTGCAAAGATCAGGCCTTGGGTGTTTGAAATTGTTTGGAGAAAGCACACCTCTAACCAGCCCGTGATGAATAAAGTGGAGAGGAAAAACCTGTTGCATAAGCTCACTTGCCGTGGGGTTTGCTGTGCCGTCCCCTTACACCAAGGGGAAGTGAGTTAAGATGCAGGGTTTTTAAAACTCTCTGAAGTTTTTATTTACCCAGTGCTCTGGCTGCCACTTCTGCTTTAAAAAAATTATAAGTAAATACTCTGCTCTTACAAGTCAACCAAACCTATCAAACCTGTTTAGAAAATGACCAGGTATGTTTCTTTTCTTTCTTCCGGTGTGTGTGTGTGTGGTGTGTGTGTGAGAAATGTACCATCCGTGAAAGACCTTCTAACTACTATTTGGGGAACTTAGGCTGTCAGAAAAATGCCTCTTTATGCCACTTATTTCGTGGGGCTGATTCAGAGTGCACAGAGGTGACAACTCTTTCCTCAAAGGTTGTATACTATTTCAAACTCCATGAAAAAGATTTTTTTTAAAGGTAAGGTAAATTTTTAAAGGAAAAAAAGAATTCTTACCAGTTTAGTTACTTTTAATGATTTACTTTCCCTTGAGAATCCTGTCTATTGGTGGACACACAGCTTGGGAGGCCATAATTGAGACTTGTGGAGTTCTCTTATTTGGTGAAGGCAGAAAGCTGGAAAAGTGAATCGAAAAACTAGGAATTTGTGGCTTTGTATAGGTATTTTCATCAGAATATGACTAGGCACCGTGAAAATTTTTGGTCTTTGTTTTTTAAAAGTTGTAGAATTTACTGAGTCTGAGGACTGTATAGAAGGTTGCTGTTAAAAAAAAATTGGGGGGGCAGTTAACATTGAACATCTCATATAAAAACTTGGGCCAAATTCACCAGCCCAAAATTTGGTTTTTGGATAAAATAATGCATACTTATCAAAGTTCCACATGGAAAATTAAAAATGGTTTATTAATTCTGCTGGTAATATGGCAAATAGTGTATGAAGAAAAGTGAGTTCAAGCACTGTAGCCCTACATTCATATGTAAAATAATTGAATAGCTATAAAGTAAAAATAGTCCTGTCAAATTGAGGATTAGGGGTCTCTCTGGCCAAAAACTTAATGGCAGTAACTGAAAAGGGGGCAAAAGAGAAGATCCTGTTAACCCAGTTCTTTTCCTTTTTCTTACACATTTTAAAACTTATTTGTAGAAGCGAAGCTGAGATCAGGTCTGTGATGGGTGCGGAGTTTAGTCTGGGGCCAGGAGAAGGGCCGGGGTTGATGCTATTTTCTATAAATGCTTTTATCGGGAATTTGATTCCACAGAGGTTTTGGTCTATGAGATTATATACTGATGAAGCTGATTTACATAGCTGTCCAATATTAATGTTTTCCTATTTTCAACCAATCACAATATCCTACTAAATATATTTTGCTAGAATTACCGGTGTGATTTCCCCCAGACTTTTCCTGGATTATCTAAAAAAGTGGGATTTTCTATCCTGTGTTACTTGGACTAAAAATTTCACTGAATGTTTAGTTGTTTTTAAAATGCTTTGCATTTTCAAGCAAATGCTATTTTAAGTTGAAGTAAATTAATATAGAGTAAGTTGATTTGGATCAGAATTCTAAGAAAAGGGAGGAAAGAAATCAGGGGAAACAGAAACCAGATTTTATGACAGACTTCAACAGATTGAAAAAACTAGTTAAAAGACTTCATAGGAAAAACCACAATTGATGCTTGATTGGCTTTTTAAAAATTGCATCAAAATCGAAAACCAAGACAGATATCTACCATTATAAAAGAAAATATTACTAATGTTGGCCTAAGCAAAAGCATAATTAAGAAAGTAAGTCTTGCCCAAAGCCACATGATATATTTCAAAGCCAGATGTCAATTTTTTTAAATTTTCTTGTGGATAATCTCATATTTTTGTGTATTTCATTAGCCCATGATCAAGGGTTGGCTATGTGAAGGGATGAGGTTCATAAAGGTTGGCTGGATTTAAAGAAGTAAGCTCAGGCTTTAAGAATAGGCCATTCTCCTACACTGAGAAAGAGTTTGAAATTTAATCAAATAAATACAGAAGTGTCTCAAAAGGAAGGATCTAAGGCAGATTATTAAGGACAGGTACAAAGAAATAAAAGCTTGCCAGGGGTATGATCAATAAAGAAGGAAATGGGATATATCTTGGCATGAAAGAAAAAAGGGATAAAGGGAAAAAATACTCTTCAATACTTTAGCAACAAGAAGGGGATAATGAAACTTCACCTCCTCGAATGGGATTAGATAACTCATTATAGGTATCATCAAAAAGTCACGAGATTTTTCATGACATAAAAAATTTAATCTTGGGAGAAGGGATGGATAAAGTAAATTATGAGCATAAGTTATATGAGAATGTAGAACTTGAAATTGCCAAATATAGAGACCCACTGTAATTTCAACTGAGAAAGGGAGGGATAGGTTTAAAAAGTTGGAACTATTGACTTGATTTCTAGATTAACTACGGATATAAATCAAGCAAAACATTTATTAATGATATGCTGTTTATATATACTGAAGTGGATACCAAAAGCTGGAGACATGGATCCATGCTCTTAATAAGGAGAGGAGGATTATAAGAATTTTAAGCAAAGTATGTACATTTGTAAAGATAAACAATTTTCAGACAGCTGGGAAGTGCCAAATTCATGGTATAAGGGAGAAAGAGATTGGAGCATTCGGGGAGGTAATGGGGAGGTAATCTTCATAGAGATAACAGAATTTGACCTTGGCCTTAAAGAATGGTTAACATGTGTATGGAGGAAAGGAAATGGGGGAGGTCATTCATCCATCTCTTCATTCAGCAAATTTATTTGGAGCCTTTACTGTGTGTTAGACACTGTTCTAGGAACTGGGCATACAGTGGAAAATAAGATAAAGTTTTTGTCCTTATGGGCCCTATATTCTAGTGGGAGAAGATGGAGGGATAGTAAACAAGTAAACACTACATGGAAAACCTGATGACAAATTGTGATGTCTAATGAAGATAATGGGCAGGGTCAAGGAAATTACAGAGGGCTAGTTATGGTCCCACTTAACTCTATTTTGCATATAATATTCTGATGAATGTAAATGATGCAACTGTGTATTTATTTATTTTTAAGATTTTATTAGAGGGAGAGTGAGAGGGAGAAGCAGACTCCCCACCAAGCAGAGAGCCCAATGTGGGGCTCGATCCTCTTGGGATCATGACCTGAGCTGAAGGCAGACGCCTAACTGACTGAGCCACCCAGGTGCCCCTATACTGTTTTTCTACAAATAGTAGAAACTTGAAGCAAAATGTCAGTTCCGAAATGGGGAAGTCTAGACTCGCTATAGTTATGTGACCACCAGGTTTTGTTATTGTTGAGATGTTCTTCATCGTGTCAACTAAAATTTTTTTAGTAACTATTACATGTTTTTAGACACATTTATAAAGTACTTCTCAAGCGTTCTGTAAGAAATATGTTCCCTCCTCTTGTCTGCA